GGTGGATGATCAAATGTGACATCATACCACAGGTTGCACACTTTACTATTACGTCCGCCTAGAGCCCTTATAAGGTACTTAGGCAATCATCCCTCCCTTTCACAACCAGGATTCGTTACAAGACGGTCTACATCCAGGTTGCTGCATACTTTTTCCGGACAGACTTACCCTATATTCTGCACCCTACATCATGAGTACCCCAGAGGGAATACCCTCACTCAACTATGGCAGAAAGCAGGTGAAAATGAATCACAGCTAAAACTTAGATGAACATTTGCTCTTTGGAAGGCCTGCACAACACTCAAACTCATTTCATATATTTTGCAAGCTAAACTCAATATAATTATATCTGCAGACGTCTGTGTATCAACCTTAAACTGAGGAAGTGTCAAGTTTGAGCCACATGATGAGTTTTTGGTGAAATAAAGTAATTTGTTGTTCATTAAATAAAAATTACTTTGATCTATCTAGTCACACTACAATATAAATCTCAACGGGCACCTCTGCCATTCAAACCACTGATGGGCTTTTTACTTTTTTCTCTTACTATGTTCATGTAGTTAATTCTGCATTCTTGGTCGTAAACAAACATCTCACTATAGTGGTTAAAGATGTTCCTTAATTCAAGGGTTCTACACATAGAAACTTTAAAAAGCTTCTGAAAGCTCTCTACTCTGGCAGGTCCAGCCCTGCAAGCAGTTCTCACTGCAATATCAGTACATCAGGCTGCAGCTAACTGGACTAGTAGAGTGAAACTCCAATAGAATCCTGTATTCCAGGACCATGCTTTAATGGAACAGTTACAAAAATTGCCTTTGCTCTGCTTTGCTCTTTTGTGTTGGATGCCCTAGAAAATGTCTTGAGGCACATTTTCAGATGGCTCTTGATCTCCATACACATGTGCAGAATCTTAGGGCCCAAAGTCTAGACAGCTGAAGCACCTCAGATGTATTTACTTTCAAGGCAGTCATCCTTTGGGGGAGACACTTGACCAATTCATCATCAACATTACAGAAGGGACGGTTTTTACTTCTACACAGTGGAAGATTACAACCCCCCCCCCCTCCTCCTTAGGAGCCTCTAGACCCTCAGAATGCAGATCACCTAACCACTATACCCAGGCTTCAAATATAAAACCTAAGTTCAGTTCTTCAATTAGGAGCAAAATTTGGCCCACTAAGCCTACCAAGTCTTCCTCAAAGCCCTCTTCCCAATGAAGGGGTACTCTCAGTCCCGACTGTGTGTGTGTGTGTGTGTGTGTGGGGGGGGGGGGGGGGGGTGGCATCTCTTACAGTTTGTCTCTCTCTGGGTCACAGATGTCCAAGATCTGCGAGTTCAATCGATGATTTCATAGGGGTACACAATAGCGTTCAAAACTCTATATGAGATTGGGCTCAAGGACAGCCAGCGCTTTCTGCTCTTTGCAAAGGTAGTCTGCCATCCAGTTTGATGCATTTTGGTCTATCCTCTGCCACCAGAGTATCCACAAAGGTTCTAGCACCTCTTCTTGCCCTTTTCAGAACTCCAGGAATCCACATCATAGGTTATCTACACAACCATTTCCTGAAGGACTCATCTCCCTTACAGCTGTATGGAAACAGATTCAGATGCTCCGGGCCTTTGGTTGGGTGATCAATTTCCCAAAATCTGCTCTCCTGCCTCTTTGCCTGGAATACATGGGTCTGATCCTGGACACTTCCAAAGCAAAGTTTTGACTTCCAGAAAAGAGTCCACGGGTCCTTCCTCCCTGTGTGTTCTTGCTCTTGTCCTTGGTACTGCTTTCTCACAAAACCAAGTCATGCTGGGTAGAGTTGGCATACATGGGCCTGCTTTTTTCTGCTTGCCAATGTCCTAAACTATTGTAGGCGGCATAATTACCCAACTGTTTCTGAATTCCTGTGCCCCTCAAAAGACTCCATGAAAAAGATTTTTCTAAGTTTGTAAAGTTGTAACATTTAGTACATCTGTATTGTCTTTCTACAGTATGATATGAAAGGCTCTAAAGTCACGTTTTAGTCAGATTCTAACATCTCAGAAGCACCTGCTGTAAGTTTACATTGGCGGGGTGGCAGACTGCCAAGATTTTTTATTTTTCTACATTAGGGATGGTTCATGCCACCATTTTGCAATCCAGATGCATTTCTGCATGCAAGATTTTGATGCATTCCAGTACGTTCTTTTTTTTTTTTTTTTGTCAAGTTTCCCATTTTGATTTTTTTTGCTTTAAGGTGTTCCAGTGCATTTTTGATGCGTTTGGCCACCTTCCAGATACATTCCATGCAGGAAAAAATGCAGCATGCTCTACTTTTGTTGACTTCACTGGAACACACTTCACTGGTGTGAACTGTGCCATTGGAATCCATGTTAACTACTGTCCATGGGTTTTGGATACAGATTAAACACACTGGACTGCATGTGGAGTGAACTGGCCCTTCACTATAATGAAAAAAGCTGAGATTTCCATGTGAACTTTAAAGATAGATTTCTCCATAATACTTATAGCTACAGTGCTCAGCATAAATGAGTACACCCCTTTTGGAAAGTAAGATTTTAATTAATATCTCAATGAACATAAGAGCAATTTCCAAAATGTTGACAAAACTGAGTTGTATTGAACATTTGTTTAGCTCATTACATGAAATTAAGGCTAATAATATAACTTAGATTGCAAATTCTTCAGTTTTGCTCAAATTAGTTGATGCAAAAATGAATACACCCCAGAACAAAAACTACTACATCTAGTATTTTGTATGAACTCCATGATTTGTAAGGACTGCTCCAAGTCTTCTAGGCATGGAATGAACAAGTTGGCGACGTATTGCAACATCTACCTTTTTCCATTCTTCAAGAACAACCTCTTTTAGAGCTGAATGGAGAGTGATGCTCAATTTGTCTCTTCAGAATTCTCTTCAGAATTTCCCATAGATGTTGATTGGGTTCAGATCAGGAGTCATACTTGGCCACTGAATCACTTTCATCCTGTTCTTCTTCAGAGATGCACCAGTGGCCTTAGATGTGTGTTTTGGATCATTGTGATATTGGAAAAGTGCACGACCACCAAGGGTACGGAGTGATGATAGCATCTTCTCTTTCAATACAGAGCAGTACATCTGTGAATTCATGATACCATCAATGAAATGCTACTCCCCAACCCCAGCAGCAATTATGCAGCCCCACAGAAGGACACTGCCACCACCATGTTTCACTGTAAGCACCATGCATTATTCTTTGAACTCCTCACCTTTTTGACACCATACAGTTTTGAAACCAACAGTTCCAAAAACATTTATCTGGGTCTCATCACTCCAGAGTACAGAGTCCCAGTAATCTTCTTCTTTTTCAGCATGTGCTCTGGCAAATTCTAGTTGTGCTTTTTTGTGCATGGGCTTTGGGACAGGCTTCCTTTATGGACGACACCCATGCATGCCATTCCTCTGCAGTGTACGCCGTATTGTGTCACGGGAAACAATCACGCCAGTTTGGCTTTCTATTCTTTAGCTAACTGCAGTGAACTTGCATGGCGATTTTCTTCAACCCTTCTCATCAGAAGATGCTCCTGTTGAGGTATTAACTTCTGTGGAAGGCCTGCACATCTCTGTGAAATGGTTGCAGTTCCATCTTTGTTACATTTTTGGATCACCTTTGCTACACTGATGACTAAGTGCTGGTTCACATATGTGCAGTGCAGATTGAAGCTCAGGTTTCACAGCTAATTGATACAGTAGTTGCTCAGTGGTTCATATCAGGTTTACATCAGGTTCAGGACAGGATTAGCTCGGGAGCTTATCCTGTTCACACACATGTGGTTTAGAAGCAGTTCCCATAGACGTCAATAGCCTGTAATCCGCACCTGAAGCTGAAGGCACTGCTTAGAAATCATACATGACTCCTTTTTCAAACCGCACTGAATCTGTGCTGCCAGTGTCCTGGACATATGTGAATAGGCACCATAAGATATTTTTTCACATGTCATGCGGATTGGAGTCGGCACTGATAAGTAAAGCTTTGCTGGTCTTCTTGTAGCCGTCACCTTTGTTATATAAAGACATTTTCTTTCTCAGGCCATGTGACATTTCTCTTCCATGTAGTGCCAATTGCTGACAGCATGGAATGGAAAGGGTTTTCTTTGTTTGCAGGTAAAAAAATGTGCATTTATTAATTTTGTCCAAAGGATCCTGGAAAGTGAGCGATCAGATTTACTTAATACTGACTATATACGAGCAAGCAGATATACTGACAGGAAGCTTCAGTGAACTACCACAGCGCTCAGGCCATCGGGACTTGTAGACACTTATTCACAGGAGCCCCGCACAGCCACTGTTTTCAAAACTGACAGTACGGGGAAACTAGTCCCCATACTATCTGTCAGAGGGAGGGGAGTGTGGCTGCGGCTATGGTAACATGTTACATGTTCAACCCTAAAACCGGGTGGAACATGCAACATGTTCCAAAGGTGAACTTATCCTTTAAGTAATGCCCTTTTATAATCAACTGTCTTCTGGACACCTGTTTAATGAATAGTTAGACTCACCTGTAGTTGAATTCTTTTTTTTTTTTTTATTGAAGAAGCGCAAAATGTTACAAAAGGAATGCAAGTTGAATTCTTGTTAATTAGGATTTTGTTGTCTAAAATTTAGCTTTGCTCAAAGACTTTCATTGGGGTTTATTCATTTTTGCAACATGGTCTTGAATTAATTTGTTAGAAAAAATACTTTTTTGTGTGTGCAAATGATCAAATCTTGTTTGCAATCAATGGCCCACATTTGTGGGAGTATTTTGCAGTATAGTGTCTCATAGAAAATGTTGATTCTGAAAGGAAAGTAAAGGTTTTCTGACAAATCTGTTGGGGTGTACTCATTTATGCTGAGTACTGTATATTACTTTTACTGCTTGTTGGGTACTAAATGACAGTATCTCTTTAAAGCTTAAGTGCACTTCATACAAAAACAATCAGTGTCTATCTGTAAATGGTAGTAAACTTTTACAAATTCTGTTTGCAGGATCAGCCAAGATTTGGCTCTCATTGCTCGGGAAATTAATGATGTTGCTGGGGAAATAGATTCAGTTACTTCATCTGGCACAGCACCTAGTACCACAGTAAGCACTGCAGCCACCACTCCTGGTTCTGCAATAGACACTCGGGAAGAGGTAGGGAGTCTACATGAAGATGTACAGGTTCTTCTATTTCATTATTCTTTTTCTGTTTAATCCATTTTAGAGATTTAATTTGATCATGCTTTACTGATTTATTTTATCATACATTTATTACTGTAAAATAATAAAGTGATCTAGCTTGAATTACTAAAAAAAATAAGCGATGGCTGTAATTCTGTTTGGTAACTAGCAAACTAGTGCTTTGTTTACCTGGTGATTACCTAGGATTATGCTTGTGTTTATTGGCTCTGCTTCTAACAATTACATTCTAAACAACCCTAAATAAAATCACCATATCACCAAACCATATGTTATAAAATATGATACAAAGTGAGCGCTTTTCAAGTAAGCAGCTGTACACTCAAGGCAACCAAACAGAATCCTTAATCAAAATAACAATAAATATTGCAGCGCTGATATTAATAGGAAGTTAAGTGAGATATTCTGAATACACAATGAGTAATAAAATAGATAAATAAAAATTAGTATGCCAAATTCATATGAAAGGTGACAAATAATCATGTGTAGCAAATATAAGAGGATATATATAAATATATATGTATATATATGTGCAAAACATCCGTAGGGATGGTTGGGTAATGAGAAAATGTCCCCACAGCTGCAGACCGATGCTTGTGCCTTATATGAATAGGAGAAATGCGCACTCACCGGACGTGCACTATTAATGTGCAGTATATATAATATCCTGGTGTCATCAGGTAGTCATCTGGGTCAGCGGATGAAAAGCCCCCTCTCAGGATGGTTGGGGTCCAGGGATTAAGATATTGATGCTCCAGAGGTCCCCTTTAGGGATGGATGGGTGCTGCTCTCAGATGACAGGAGGCAGATTTAGCCATTATATAACATCTTTAAATAAAACCAGGTTTCATTACAAGAATATTGCTTTTTTTGACAGAAGTGTAAAGTTAAAAATAAAATAAAAAAATTTAACTGTTTGCCTGTGATGTCACCATGCATTGCACATTTACACGAACTTTAACAGTTCAAGTAACTGAACACAACTAAACATTTCAACAGCTACAAGCAAAGGCACTGTCACGGCTTAATAAACCAATACTCAAGGGCAATGGTTATTTCTACAATAAGAATCAGTTTACTGTCAGTTGATTATTTCAACAGTTCTAATTCTCAGATACTTTCAAAGAAAACATGCACAGTCTACAATGCTATTAGTGTGTGGATTATAACAGTCACCACTTTTTAATCAACTCCTCTCTCTCAGCATCGACAATAGAGATGAATATCACACAATAAGACATTCCGTAGGGGCAGGACCCCAACGTAAGGATGATGTATACAACGCACTGGACAAGCATTGTACAGAGCAGCATTATACTGAGGTTTTATGTGGTGTCCTGTCAATGCACCACAGGACACCACCAGACACCTAAGCAAATAGGCAGAGAAGGCACCTGCACAGTGCTCCTCTATGGCGGGCACCTAGGCATGTCCCTACTCTGCCTAATTATAAATCCTGCCCTGCAGGTAAGTTTAGGAAGTGCTGTCAATAGCAGTAAACACTAGTCACTGTTATTGACAGCATTCATAGCATTAAAAATATGCATCTAATTGACAGTTCCTGATCTATTTTTCTTTTTCATTAGTGTGATATTTACCTCCTATTGTCAAATTTTTCAATGCGAAAGAGAGAGAGGACCCCAGAGAGTGTTTAATTGCACTGATTTGTGGTGAAATAAAAGACTCACAGCTTCATTCCTTGCTGTAAGTGCACGTGCATACAAAATAAACCTGGACACATAGATTGTACGCCCCTTGAGGGTTAGGGACTGATGTGAATGTACAATATATATATATATATATATATATATGTAAAGCGCTGCACAAATTGACGACGCTATATAAGTACCTGAAATAAATAAATAAAAAAATATTGTTGGCCTTAAACAAGTAGCCCAGCCACACACTGCACAGTCAATTAAATCATGTGTGAACAAAACCTTGGGACATAGTAAAGAGGAGGATCCTAACCGTGATAACAGACAATAGGTGTAATATGGTGGCAGCATTTAAACAAATGACAGCAGCAGCAGAACCACCCAATTCTATTGAGGAAGACTCCCCCATGATGGAATGCGACCGAGAGTCCGAAATTGATGGTCTGCGGTTATTCTTATTTGTTATTCTTTTACTTGATGACAGTCAGTTATCACATGCATATGAGATGATTGATATTGGGGCTGTCTGCTCTACTCTACTGGTGTATCCTTGTTATTTTTCCACTTTAATGTAATCGCGTGTAAAAGTATTCCCATAAAATGTTGAGGGTTAACAAAGAATGTAAACTGTAACCTTTTCTATACTTTATTCTTATTTGGCTGTGTTCCTCTTGTTAGGTGCTCACAGATCGACATGGAAAGGACACCATGGGGTAGATTTACAACTCTAGCACTCAGAATCTGGTGCATCTGTGCATGGTAGCCAATCAGCTTCTAACTTCAGCTTGTTTAATTAACTTCAGCTTGTTTAATTAAGCATTGGCAATCAAACCTGAAGGCTGATTAGCTGAGCTGCACCAGATTTTGCAGTCTTCAGTTTTAGTAAATAACCCCTGTGTGTGGTGTATACCTTACCACTTGTGGTCCACATGGTGCAGAGTGTTAAGAGAATCTTAAGATCAAGAGTGAACCTCTTCGGCAAGTCTTCCACTGCAACACGAAAGATATTGGAGCAGTGTGGTCCTACTCTTTTAAATGACTGCCCACATGCTAGTCAAGTAGTACATTCAACATGATCGTAAGATTCCTCAAACTGAAAAATTTGGTTTGCAAAATCTCAAACATGGGATAGGACAGCTTGATCCCTAGTGAATGGAAAAAGTGAACATCATTTCATGACCCACTGCTGCCTTTTGCGGAACATACATAAACCCTCCAGACACCATGTCCATGTCCCTGGCTGTCCTTGTCCTCTTTGATCTACTCAACTACCTTGAGGACTTTAAACAGAATACTAGCTATGAAGACCTTGCCACAACTGCACAGAAAATGAAAGGGAATGTTAACCAGCATTTTGCTTCATTAATTTGTAGATCCAACTGATGTAATGTTCTCACCACTTGCAGCAGCTGTTGTTTTGTCAACCCTAAACTATACAGTGTATGTGGGGCGCTGTAATGCCACTCCAACATAAGGATAAATATAAGCGGTCAGACAGAGGAACAGTTCCAGGTTCCTGGATAAATACGGGCAGCCTTAGAGTGACCACTGGGACAGTGGAACAAAGCACAAACATAAAAACACACTTAATTGGTGCTCCAGATAATGGTTGTATACACACTCTGTTCAGTCAGCTGTGTGGGACAGGCTTGTGTGCTTATAAATTCAGAGCCCACGAATCCATGTGAATCAGAGTTCAGTTCAAAAACTTAATTTATTAAAGCATAAAAAAGTCTCACATGGCGCTTCACAGCATGCCAACTGTTGGTCAGATCCAGGCTGAAGGCAGATGGAATGTGCCAGTCTGGCTGAGTGGGCGGATGGGATCTGTGACAGGAGACCGTTGACCGTGGCAAGGTGGAATTTGCGTCACTGGAACCCAGAATTCGTCAGCCGCGCAACCAGGACCAGGAATGCACCAGGGAGATTGACTATAGTTGGTTATCAGGATAATATGTTTCGGGATACATCCCTTTGCCAAATCCACTATTATTTAATAAATTGTGTTTTTGAACTGAATTCTTTAATTTTCATGGACTCTGAATTTATCAGCATACAAGCCTGTTCCGCACAGCTGACTGGCAACAGTGTGTATACAACAATTATTTGGAGCGCCCGTTCAGTGTGTTTTTTATTTGATTTTGTTTTGTCAACCTTAGTGTCTGTGAAACCCTTGTTGATGCAGCTGATGATAATATTTAGGAACTGCTTAAGAAGGCAGAGGATTATGCGCGTGCCCTAAGGAAATCCACATTGCCACACACACAAAATGAAGATCTGTCTGACTGAAGATGGTCATGTGGAAGAGGAAAATATTGAAAAGTCAAAGGAAGTGGAAGAAGCAAAAGAGAAAAGGGATGGGGGAGAGAGGCGCCAAGCCACCAATAGTGTAGCAAATTAATTTTATTGAATAAAAAAGGGTATCAAATGCAATAATTATGCACTCACACACATCGCTGGTAATGAGCATTGGATAAAGCTCCAAATGGAGACATCAGTCCAGAGTCCAGTCCACATAATTGCCACTGTTAGGAGCTCTGTGAAGCCAAAGCAGGGATCCAAACAAGCCACCCGGGGAGCCCCAGCTGGAGACCAGATCTGTTGGAGAGCTGTCCAAGGAGCTGTCAAATGTCCAGGGTGCTGTGACCAATCAGAACACGTTTCAGAGGCCAAGTCACTCCTCCTTCATCAGCCTGACATTTACCCTAACCTCCAGGGATTATATGCGCACTGTCATTAACCCTATAGTGCCCAAAGCAATTATTGGCATAGGCACATTGTGGGAGCAGAGCAGTAAAACAGTTTAACATAAAAAAGGATTATACATTAAAATTGAAGTTAAATAGTTAAAGATAAATATTTGATATAAATAAGGTTAAATATACATTTTGTTGGTACCCCGTCACATACGTGGATAAACATAAAATTAATAAATTGATAAAATTACATAAATATTAAATTCTATATGGATGTATGTATGTGTACTCATACCTGTGTGTGTGTGTGTGTGTGTGTGTGTGTGTGTGTATATATATATATATACACACACACACACATATATACAAATACATATTTTTCCTCCTTTTATGAGAATCAACCTCTTTAACAGTATCCGACAGTAATTCAGCAATTAAGAAAATAATGATATCTAAAGATAAGAAAAATTTGATTATTTTTTTTGTTATTAATATTGTAGAGATCAAAATAACAGATAATATCAAATGCTAAAATCCAAAATAGATATTA